CCTCCAATGCGCAGTCACCATCAACATCTTTGGAAAACCCTACATCCCACCTCACCCATCCACAGAGACATCTCCCTTACTTTACCCTACCAACACATTCTCCTCATGATGGAACTGTGTCCTTGACCTCATGGCACATCAAGCCCAAGCCCTGGATGCCATGGATGTTTCAGACCCCACAGTAGGGCACCTCAGCATCCTTCCTGAACATTGAACCTGCATCCCCTTTTCCTGTATTCACAACCAACTCTGCCTCCTCCTCCTGCACACATTACACTGGCTCCAGCACTCCAAAATACACACCTGGACCAACCCCTGGAGCCTCTAGCAGGCTGTCCACCTTGAATGTTGGTAGCTACTTTGCAGGAAGATCAGTCAAAGGCCTAACACCCAGCCGATCAGCAATGTTCCTCCACCTAGGATTCACTGTATCCCATCTGAACTCTTGGAGACTCTCTCTACACCCTCTGTACCTATCTCCAATGGCAGCCACAAATTCCTGATGACTTACAGCACCCCTCCACCACCTTCACCACCACGTACACCCACATTCATCCACAAGAACAGAAGCAGAAGAGCATCTAGGACCCCTATTCGACAACCAAATGACATCTCAGGCACCAGCATTCACTATATTCCTGCCTATATCCACCAAAACCCCCCTCCTGTTGAACAGGTTACAGCAGCAGTGGTGACACGAAACTGAAGGTCTCGGATTGGAGACTAAAAGTAACCTGAGTTTCAATGAACAACTTGGACTGTGTCCATAGTTGAGAGAGTAGTTGTAAACTAAATACTAAACTATGGGGGCAGGAATTGTAAGGGTGGGATAAGCCCTAACCCTAAGTGGTCTTGAGTGCACACACAGAATATTCACCACTCCCACCTGATGGAGTGCATGAGAACATCACCAGAGGTCTTCCTTGACCAGTTCCCCACTAATCCCATCATCTTTCTGAACTTGTCCATAAGGTCCCAGTGAGCAACTTTGTGAGCAGATCCACAACCATGTCCTTTGTCTCAATGTATCGGGGTTTGACTTTGAGGTTGAAGACAGCCTGGCATAGCCAGAACCAATGTCAGTCAAGGTGTTTGGGGTGTCCCAGGTTTTCAGGGTGCTTGCTGACCTGAATAGCACTTTGATTATCCATATTCAGCTCAGATGGGCCATGAAGTTGTGTATTGCTGATTTCATCAAGTAGGGTACACATCCAGCAGAGTTCTTGACCTATCTCGCTAGTGGCAATGAACTCCAATTCAATGGTGGAGGTAGATACTACACTCTGCTGTTTGCTGGTCCACGTGACAGTGCCCCCTGGTATAATGAGTAGTGTACCTGTAGTGGACTTTCCTGTATCAATATTTCCACCATGATCAGCATCAGAATAGGTGCAGAAAAGCTGGGATGTTGGTAAAGTGGCTGCAGCAGAATATTCAATTTGGTAATCCAAAGTGCTGCACACGTAGTGAAGGAGGTGCTTGACTGCTTTCCAGTGATCGAGCCCTGGGTTGGTGTTGAATCTGCAAAGGACTTCCACTGAAAACACAATATCAGGGCAGGTACACAGTGTGAGATAATGTAGGGCACCCGTGGCTTGAATATATGGGTACTTCTTCATTTCTGCAACTTCCTCAGGTGTCTGGGGTGATTGGGATTGAGTGAGTCTGGGGTCAAGGGGGCTTGTAACAGGCTTGCAGTCAATCATATGAAGT